AAGAAAATAACATGAAACCCCCACTATTGTTATATCCATCATTTGTCACCTACTCAAATCAATTTTGGAAATTCCTCTTCTTAGCGACTCCCAATCATATCAGGTCTTAGACACCTACAATCTATGTATTTAGTATTTTGTTTGAATGTTTTAAAAGGTACACTTGACATACAAAAGCAGATATATTCTTCAACACAACAGTTAGTAGCATTAATACTACACATCATTCAAGATACTTGTATAAAACCAGGTTGCTTATGGTAACTAAATGACAACCTAAGTACCATAAACAAACTATGCTAGTGTTTTTGTTTTACACGACTTTAGTTTAAACTTTAATATACTTGTTCAATTAATGGAATATTATATTTCCACAGATACCATTGCAAAGACATTTAAAGCTTCTAAAAATTGTGAATTTTAATAAAAGGTACCAAGTTCCGTATATTATAATCTGTTAGTGTTTGGTAAATTGAGCATGCAATCCAACCTCTTGTTAGTGATTTTCATCCTTCATACAACTTTTAAGCCTTATTATATATTCGAATGTGTGCGTTTGCTGCCTTAGAGGCTGTAAATAATAAATAAAAAAACTAGCTCTTCTGAAAACTATACTAGTTGAAAATGGTATATTTAGGTATAGTGTAAATGTAAAATGAGTTCCTAGTAATTATGTTTAATCACCATCTACAAATGTAGGTTTTACATTTACATTAACGAGTAAAAAAAATAAAAAAAAATACTGGAGATTTTCAAATGAGCATTTTGAACACCTACATAAAATTACAAACTTATTAATTGTGAAGGTGTTGTAGGACTTTAAAGGCAACAGTGAATTAGAGGTATATTAGATCTCAATCATTATCCTGGGGAAAAGCGCAAGGCGATGTATTCTTTGGTTTGTATCACGTGACCACGCACCATCTGCCAACGTAGAACATTCCGGAAAGACTGCTGTTTAGATGACGTGATCTGCTGACTGCAGTTCCACAGCTACATACAAGGTCAAGCCAATGATGTGTACTATGGTTTGTTTCCCAGTTGTTAGTGTAGAAAAAAAAAGTTTTTGCTTTGGTATCTCAACGGTACATTTTAAAAACATACATTAATATAACAGTGCTTTTTTGTACACAACAAATAGAAGCGTTGCAAGTTTTATTTTTTCCATAAGAAACTTTACCACGACAAAAAAGAAATGTACGTAACCCTAAACATGAATGTATTAGAAATCATTTCAGCCTACAATCGATCGCAATCCTAAGGAAGTCGTATAACTTTCAAATTCTGTAATGCCATACAAATGTAAAGTCGATGATATTGTTACTTACAGTTTACATTCAATTCCACAACAACATTGTACACATTATTTGTCACCTTGCTAGTAATAAGCACCTTGATAATATTTATGCATGTTACAAATTATAACTATAATATTTAAATCGTTATGCAATAACATCATGTTATTGATAAGAACTTTTGAAAATAAAATACAGTGCAATTACTTATAATAAAACAAAATTGAGAAGTGTTTTGCATTATAAATTATTTGGTATTTATAAAAGTACAGAGATACAGCTTCCGAGGTTGATTTTTTTTTTAACTTTATTGCAATGTTTCATTGATCACTTATTGTGGCCATAGCCAGATAACTCAAATTTTATTTTTTCATAAGAAATTTTACCACGAAGAAATGGCAGTATTTATGTTTGAGTTTGTCAAACAGTTCTATCATCGTCATTACTTTTTATTATATTAGCGTAGTTTTTATTTGAGCTATATTAGTAAATAAACCTACAAAATTTCTGGAATAAATCTTAGGCTAAGGAAGTAAATTTACCAACAGAATTTCCGTAACAATTGGTTAAGCCTAACAGTGAGATTGCACTTTCAGATTTTCTGTACTAAGTAAAGTGTTAGAATACTGTTTAGTGTTGAGTAAATTACAACTCAACGAGATGAATTTAGCGTTGTAACTGTAATCATACTGGAAGTTCAACATTATGTTCTGTACGAGTTAAAAAACTCGAGCTTAACTGTGTGCGTTATTAACAGGAGTGATAGTTTAGCGATTTTCCACCTTCTGTAGCTAGGGCTGTGGTTATCCATACTATCACATTGTCAGTGGATGTGATCTACTGAACTCTTACTTCACATACCAAATTCCAAGGCAATCCATTAAAAAATACACAAGATATAAAATCTCCAATTTTGATTAAAGTTCTTCCTATTCTTTTTCTTCGCACCAAAAGTACGGAAACTTTATTTGATAGAAAAACACTTAACTTTTACGGATTTTTGTCAAATTTTAGTACACTAATATCTTTAAAACATATAATTAGGTGTCAAATTTGGTTTAAATATAAGCCACATGTGCAAAGTTATTCACCTGCAAAACGTCACGCGAGTTATAGGTCCGAATTTTTACTACAGCTTCACCTGACAGTTAAAGTGGACCGTTTTTAGTTGTTTTTTTTAATTTTTTTATTATGATTAAAGACGGCCGATATAGAGCAGCAAAACTATGGGGTGAAAGAACGTGCAGATACATAAGTATTGGTAACGCCATTCAAACTAGATTATCAGTTTCTAGCTCAAGTTTTCAACAGAATCATACAGGTGAACGGTTTTTACTGATTATTCATTACCAACTTTTCAGCACAAATTTACTCAATTTTATTAAATTCTCCTCCTAATTAAAGAGAGTTTAGCGTCATATGATAGTAGCTTAAGCAGCAATTAGCATAAATAATGGTGCTTGATACGGCTGTTCCAAGTGCATGCGGGTGATGACAAGAAACTATTAATCAAGATTCCATGGCGTTACTACAAAGGAAGTTATTAACACTGTTTTAGAGAGGGAAAAACACCATCATATATTTTAAAGAATCTGGTTGGTCCTGTAAAGTTTAGGTCTGTTCAGAATAATAGGGTTGCGATTGTAAAGCCAATGTTGGTTACTATCGGGTCTCACTTACTTGCTTGCTGTGGGTTGTTGGTGTGTATTGACAAAAAGCCATGATATCTAATGAAAAACACCTTAGGTGTGAAAAAAAAGGTACGTCCAAAAAAGGATTGAGCATGCAACTTAAAGGAATGAAATCAACATTAGCGGCAAAACTGGTAGCTACACTTATAATACTGATAAAGAATTTTACAGCAAATATTCATTCATTAGTTAGCCAGGACGCATTTTTTTTTTGGTTTACATTTTGGGCATGAAGGTTGGTAAAACAACATATGCGGCCTAGCTAACTAATGAATGAATAGTTGCTGTAAAATTATTATCAATGCTACAAGTGTAGCTACAAGTTTGGCCGCCAATTTTGATTTCATTCCTTTAAGTTGATCACTCAGTCTTTTTTTATTTGGCCGCACCTTTTTTTTTTCACACTTAAAGTGTTTTTAATTCGATTTATTTTAGCACGAAATATAATTTTAACCCAAAGCTAAAATTTCAAAAAATCTGAGCAACTCGTATGTCCTGGAAAGGCACATGAATACACGATTGAATTATCCAGTTTCTGTTCGAATATTGAGTATTTTTTCACTGTCGACAATTTGTCATTGAAAATCGCCACCATATGCTTCTCTAAGCTTAAAAGTTCTATACAGGTCCTTACACAGAGCAACGTAATCGGTTAAAGTAACAAACCTGGTTTCTACCTTGTTTTGCCCACACGTGTCTGGTTATTGAACCGACCTACTTTACAACAGGGAATTAACAGCAACAGGGAATGCGTACACATATCCTCGTTCAAGTACAGTAGTGGGATACAATGAACACACACACACATTAGCTTCGTAGGAGTTTGGAAAGAAGAGAACAAAACACACTTTACTTACAGGATCAGAAATAACACGAATTATTTGTTAAAATGTAGATGCAACACGCATATTTATTATAACACGTGCGAAATAAACTAAAAACCTTCGAACACTACTATTAATTCTGAACACAACAACATGAACAGAAATTAAAGTCCCTAACTTTAGAGAAGGCCTAAAAATGTAACAGGTACACAGTTAAAATTAAAACTTCTCCAATTATATTAGAATTTGTAAAAAATAACCAATAAACAGTATAATATTTCTCATATTTTAGGTACTGACTGTGGTAACAAAGACTCGTACTCACGCACTAAACCTATGCGATAAGACTTTTTTCGAAAGTATATATTAAAATCATTTAAAGCGTGTTCATTATTATACGTGTCATTAACATCAAACGAAACTGCCTTAAAATGTATTCAACAAGAGTAATATGACAATTTAAAATATATTCATACACAGCTGTGGCTACATTTTACTCTTAGACCACTGAACGTAATGTAAGAAATTTAAAACGACAGCAGACGTTCTCAGTAAACCTTTTCACAACTACCACTCTTTGGTTCATCAAACACGAGCTATGCGCGTGAAAACGACGTATTCAGTTACTTTGACTACACTAACTGATAAGTATACTTTGGGATATTTTAATTTAACCAATGAGCAACAGTAAAAATATACATATATTCTGAAAAACATTACAAAACAATGGCCTTCATTATTATGTATAAAGATTTGTTGTTCGTTTGTTCAGTACAAAGTAACACAATGGGCTATGCGTGCCGTGCCCATAATGGTATCGATATCCGGTTGTTAGTATTATAAGCCTTTAGACTTATCCCCGAGTCGCTGGGGAGGGAGAGCGGCACGTAAAAAGAACAAGTTATGACACGTTGAATGCTTCATCATTTATAAACTTACCTGAAGTTACACAACATACAACAGTTCAAACTGAGCCTCGACACTTTAGAAAATTTCCAAAAAAGACTGACCGATATAGATGCTATTATTAACTCTGAATATAATAACATAAACGGAAATTAAAGTCCCTAACAAACTGCTTATAAAACAGTTTTTGAAACCTGTCTGTTGCAAAGTTTCTTTTAAAAAAAATTTATAATACTTCTTCGCTAAAGGCGAGTTTTCGTTCTGACCATTTTTCATATAAACTGCTCGGCCCAGAGGTATTAAAAAAAAAAAACATTAACCCGACGCTTTCTGCTTAGGGTTAAATTTTACTGTTATAGTCACATTTTTAAGTAAGCCTTTCATTGGAGATTTAGCCTAAAGAGGGAGCGATTTTTAGGCTGGAAGCTTCTATATAAATGAGCGAATAAAACCACACAGCCTCTGAAATTAAGCGACACTATCCTGTTATCTTAATGAAACCAACAAACGTTTTATTATTTGGAGGAACCAATATCCTGCAAAATGCAAGTAAGAAGAAAATGATAAAATTTCCCCAAAGAAACAAAGCATATTTATAAACTTTTATATCGTACAAGACTTGAGTTTTTTTTTACAGTTTTGGTTACAATCCGCCCCCAGAGTAACACGTAACTTTTACACGTATTTGAATCAACTTTAAATGTCAAGAGCACCACACAAGTAGTCAAAGCTAATGCTGCGTATACCCAACGGTAATGAGAACACATCTAATAAAGAGTTTAGGGACCTAAAACCACTAACAGAGCACTTAAAAGATTTCAAAAACGCTAATAAAAACGTATGACAACGAAAACTATACTGACAAATCCTCGGTGTTTGACCTTACCTTTCCTCAGGTATTCTATTTGTACACATTTGTTGTGCCAAGCTGAAACTTGTAAATGGCCAATTCAAGGTAATGTTGCCTAGCTTATATAATTGGCTGGTTGATTTGCTGTTGACAGATTTATTAAGTTTTTGCGTGAAAATTATAATCGCATATCAAATACACCATAAAGTGTGTGTATAACGGGTCTCTGATATATATATATATATATATATACCTGTACTTTATACATCAGCGGGTAAAACATCCATTTGGCTGGAACTATGCCAGACAGGGAGAGTTAGAAATAAACATCATCCGAGTTACCATATCATTATCCATGCTTATCACAAGGTCATTATGTACACGTGCTTCATAACAGTCAACAAAGGATCGATATGACGTCACTTTGTAGTTTCGGTTACATGTGATCAATACGGTCGCCAGTAATGGTGATAGCCAAGTGTAACTACTGAAAATTGAGAAGAAAAAAAAACCTTCGACTCGTACCCCCTGCACACACACATACACACTTACATGTTAGCAGGACCAAACTTGACATACGTGTTCAGGTATCACAGACAAGTGTCCCAGCGATTCTTTTTCATATAATTTGCATATAATTCATTGCTCTTTATTTGAACCAAAATAACGGTAAGTTCTACATACGTGAAACAACAAGTTCATACTGGATACAGAAGGAGTACAAGAATTTTTTTTTTCTTTACACGTGATCAAACACGCCCACTGGGAACTGTTGTATTAACGTTCGATTCCCGAATTAGCAATAACACATACATACCTAAATGACACTAAAGTGGGATAATATGCCCAAGAGAAAAACAAAGATGCAATCCTGTACGACAGATGAACCTCTTTTAGATCAAACAAGAACACCCTGTATATTTCCCTCAAAGTCCACAGGTTTAACCACAATTAAATTATCAAAAATAAAACAGGGAATATAAAATTGTCGCCATTGATCAATCACGAATTATGGAGAACACCCGATAAATTTCCCCCTGGCTCCTATCCTATGTGAAATAGCCAAAACTAATATAATTACCCGATAAAATCTCATGAAAAGAACCACAATGTCACCTTTGATAAGAATACGATTTACATTTATCTATAACCCTGAAAATATTTTAGACACACCTAAAGAATTTGTCATACAGTAAAAGAAAACAAGATTATGGAACAGGTTGTGTTTCTAATTCAGTGATTTTGTAAATGTTCCAACGGACCAATAGGGAAGTTGGAATTCATCAAGTTCATTTGTAAGACAGAACTTGCACTCTGGTGCATTTAAAACGTGCACACTTTATCTGCCAGAATGACAGAAAAAAAAAATATTTTAGTATAGATGGTTATGATGATACCCACTAGCAAACAATATTGAACATTTTTAACAAGTTAAAATAAAATTAAAAAGAGAAATGCACTGTACGCACCTGTGCACATTTTTTATTTATTTTTTATTTTGTAGAAACAATAAATTTTAATTTAAGTAAGAAAGTACCGAGCAATAACAACTTTGCAATTCAATGTTTATAAATAATTCCGATTATGGTTATTATTCTAATTAGGTCATTTCAGAAAAATGAAACATGGAAAAAAAAAGTATAACAGACGACTTCTTGTCAGTTATGTGTAACAGATGACAGCTTATCTGTCATACAACTTCTAAAAAAATAGTTCTTGAAAAAAGTAATGTCAGTTAACCCGATAAATAACCATGGTGTCATAGAAGAAATAGTAGCCTGAAGCCAAAAATTGTTTTATTAATAACACTGTACTTTGTTGTTTTGCCTTGTTGACGTCTTTGGAAAGCATTACAGATGTGAAACTCTCCGTGTGGTTTCCCTGCAAGTCTTTGGACTTAAAACGCTGAAATCCAGGGTTTGACTCGTGTATAGAGTGCAGATGGCCAATTGTGTAGCTCTGCACTATTAAAAAAAAATGTCTGTACAGTATACATTTTAAATTATCATTCACTTTCTATTATTAACTGATAAGTTATTTTTCGTGTTTTTTTGTCCCACAAAAATGTTATGCTCTGGCGTGTTTGTAAAAGTAGTTGCACTGTATCTAATAAAAACAACACTTATTTGATATGCACTCCGAGAGCTGTATTCTAAACTGGACAGTTTGTCTGTCTGCTTGCATTGCCTCAAGGCTCCTCCAGAGTAGCCCGACATGCAAGTACTCACAATTCTTACCCAATGAAATAAGTTAAATGGGCCCACTAATGCTGTCTGGAATAAAAAAAGTAACTGAAAAAATAATAGCATATGAGAGTTCCCGAACAAAATGTACTTATTTAAAACTTATTATTAAAGCACAGTTCAGCACTGATAATAAAGAGAATGTTTATTTTTTTCTGTTAGCTCTGTAAATAAGATAATGACAGCAGTGCCTTTGAGTTTCTCTCTTTGAGAACACACAAACTGTAATTAGACTTTGTGTACTAATCAAATCAAAATGCAAATATTAATTGTAGGAATCTGATTTGGATGTTTATTTTAATGAACGAAATTTCAGTTAAAATCCCGCAGTACCACTTTACGTTTGCGAGATAAAGACTTAAGATTTAATTTAAATCATTCATGGAATAATGATGTAAAGATTATATAATGCAGATGAAGCATATTCAAGGGGGAGGCAGATAGGGTGATATATATACTATAAAAAACATAATCTTAACTTTAATAACTATAGTAATGAACTTTCCTGTTTAGTGGCTATTACAGTCCGACACACAGAATTTATAATGCATTCTCTATTGTTTATTGAAATCTGATGATTTATTGTGACGTTACATAAAAAAATTAAGTTTGGTCAAAGTACACAATACGTGTCGTGCCCCCCCCCTTTAGAAATACCTTTGATATTGCTACTCAATACATTTGAAAAAACAACAACAAAAACACATCAAATATATTACACTTAATTTACAGTTTGCCTTAATTATATAAATAAATTATACTAGCTTACCTGTTGTGTCGTTTATTTCTGTTTGAGGTTCACAGCTTCCAGTAAACACATCTCGAATAGACGCACGATCTCGATTTTGATCAAGATTTGATTCTTGTTCCCTCATCGAGATATCAACCGATTCATCAACATAAACACCTTGTTTAACTGTAATCGATTCTGGCATAATAAATCATAGACTTAATGTAAAACTTAATCAACTAGTCTAGATTTCTTATTGAACTGGAATCGAACACAGTCAAACCGTAGTTAGGCCTATCTGTAACCTTAGAAACTGTCACCATAAGCAATAACCAGCGGGTAAGCACTCGAACTCGACTTTGTTGCGTTTGAAATTTTCGTTTACAATTACATCATAACATTAGGTAAAAATACTCGCTGATAGTACAGGACTAGTAGAAGAAATCCAAGAAAATAAATTTACAACAAACCACCTCTTGCTTTGGCTTTACGCCCAGCTGCAAGCTTAGAGCTCAGCTGATAGCTGATGCCCAAACAATCCTTTCTCTCTTTACCGTTTCACATCGGAATACACAAATACAAAATGGAACACCTCGGTATATATACCCAGAATGACGTGTCTCATAGATTAGGGTAGCAAATCACAGCGCCGAATATTGTCATGTGACATGTTTATAGATAAAGGTTCTTCACGCACGTACAGGCCTTTTCTATAGATAGGGCAATGCTCATTGTGTCAAAAAAGGGAGAGCTCTTACGATTAATGTGGCTCTACACTAAATGAAATAAAAATAGATATACAAACAAACTAACGAAATTCAGTACCTCAACATAAAATATTTAGGAGAATAAATAAAGTTTAATTTATTTGATAATGCTTTAATGATGGTTTAAGGGCTTTATCTTAAAACAATGTTTTGTCCATAGCAATTTTCACTCTGTAATTTGTAAGTGAGGCACCATGTTTATCCCATAAAACTATGCTATATCTGAAAGGTAAAAAAAAGCACTAATATGATACAGTTTATTACTTACACAATCCGAATATGAGTGTAGGTTTCACATATATATATATCTTATGATAAACATAGTTTCGAGAAAAGGGATGATTAAACCTAAAACGTGACTTATAAAAATAGGCTTTGCATAAGTGAGTTTGGAAAGTTATGTAGAGAGAGAAAAAACAAAGATAACGTAAAACCTGTTTTGGGTCATATTTAAGTTGCATTCGACTGATCACCTCTGTGTTGTAGCAGAAATATACAAATTTACTCTAATAGCGTGATAGCTGATTTTATTTTGTGACAATAAAGTACTTCAGCATTATTCGTTGTTCGTTACTACTCCACCACTTCCTTTAAAATTCCCTTTTGTAATTCGATGACGAGGAACCCACTTTGAGACTAATAATGGCTGGAGACGGCTTGAATGGGTAATGATGATGACAAAACCTTGTCGAAACGTTGTACATTTACTGTTATGTTAAACTTATATTAAAGTTTTTCTTCATTACCCATTCAAGCCGTCTCCAGCCATTATTACTCCCTTTCGTAAATCTTTGATTATGGTATATATATATATATATATCACTTTTTTGTCATTAATAGTCCATGTGCCAGGCAATGTTGTCAGTACCAAAAAAAAGGGAACGAATTGAAAATGATATAATTTAGCTTTCATTATCAAAATCATTTTCACATGTTAGCATTTGCAAAAATATAACTCAACTGTGTAATTTAGTTAAAGGAAATCAAATATTTGATTCTAACTGGTAACGAGGCTGGGACTTAAACTCATTTCAAAACTAATTTTTATTGACAGTACAAATTACGAGTAGAGAAATATATAAGGTTAACTATCTTATTTTGGTAGTTGAGTTACCTATGGTAAAAACAAGAATTGTTGTGGGGTTGTTTTATTTTACAGAAAAGCCATATTAGGCTATCTACTGTGTCCGTAGACATACTTCTGTCTCACCGGGGAACAACAGAAAAACAAGGAATTGTGGGTAGAAAACATATTGTTACGACAGCGGAAGTCACGTGACGCTAGTAACACGTCATGATATTATAGAAGGATCTTGTCTGCTCGTGGCAACTCTAGTCTTCTCTATGCGCCCTCTATTTTTTGTATATATAAGCCGGCAAAAAAGTGACGGGATTAATACTTGCAGATTGAAGAGATAGAGACAGATAATCGAGTCAAGTCGTAAGTAAAGTGCGTGAATCGTTGTGAATTATAGCGTGTGTTTAAGTTAAAATGACTGTAGAAATTAAGTGTATTGCAAAGTTGTATTGAGAAAGAATAAACTAGTTTTATTTAAGAAAGGACTTCTATCGCTGAAGTTTTTCGGAAAGAATTTCTACGGAAAATTAACCAACGACCAGAGACGTGACAATATTATGGTATATCCAAAAGATGGCTGCCTCTATCTTCTTCGTCTCTACTTATTGCTTGCTTTTATCACATTTATTTATATTTATGCTTATTTAACTGATTTTGGAAAAAAAAGAAAAAAGACTTGAGTGAACAGAGTTATAATTAGATATAATTCTATACTTAATATGATAGGCTACAACTTTCAGACCAATTTTCAATTCGAAAGTTTATTTCCCGATTTGTCATTATATTCAACTTGTTCTAACTATAATTCTGTAGGACTGCAGATTTTTTAGCAATCATCCTCTTATTTTAAAAATTAACCAACAAAGAAAATTGGTGTAAAAACTGTACCTTCTCTTTTGTGCTGATAAAAAAGGAGACATTGATGAGTTAGAAACAAACATGTCTTCTAATCTACAGAGAATATTTCCACATAGCTGCATCATTCACAGAGCATCGTTATATAACACGACAGATTCTTGTATAGATATTATTTAATCTGAAAACCTTGAATCCCAGCAAACTTTGCATAAAGTTGCATAAATAAGAATCATAAACCACTTTTTCATACATGTTTATTGCTGTTGATATATACCCTTAGCAAAGACGAAATCCCACCAATTTTACTCCCATAGACAATTTCCAAGTATATTCATGACGAAGAAATGTATTAAAATTGTACAGAACAAATCTGTAGAAAATACTCCCATGATGAACCCAAATAGATCATCCTTTAGAAAAATATTTACAACTAATGAGTTATATTGTGTTGTTTTCATATTTTGTGATAAAGAAATAAAGTATTCGAAATAACGCTCAGATGAAACAATAAGAAGAGTGGATATAGGACACATACTACGGAAAAATGCTCGCCGTCATTTCAAGAATAACTGCATGAACATGTTATCATAAATTTTCAGTTTTACGTGAGGCACCATGTTTATCCCATAAAACTATGCCATATCTGAAAGATAAAATAAAAGCACTAGTGTGATTCAGTTTATTGCTTACACCAACCCGAATATGAGTGTAGGTTTCACATTTCACTATGCTATATCTGAACAGCTCTCTAAGTATTTCCAGTGGTCTTACCATCTAGCTGTGTGTGTCAGAATGTCGTTCACATAATGCTCTATGTTGGTGGTGTTGTGCAACATCTTCCTCATCATGCAGTTGAATGTTGCTGCTGAGTTGACTAACCCAACATGAGCATGTTATCAGAAATTTTCAGTTTTATGATTATTGGAGAAATAGTTATTAAACTTAATAGCTGCTCATTATCACGCTATTGCAGCAAATACATGTTAATTGTATTTTAAGCTATATTTTAATGTTCTAATTTTGATGTTAGCTAGAAAACGTATGACGTTATGATCAAGAATGTTGAAAAATGTGGTACTACAATCTAGAAGCTCCCCATACTTCGTAAAAATGAGAATCCCAGTTTAAATACAACGATTTAATCATCGAGTAGTTGTTTATCGAGAGAAGGTTGATCAAGTAAAGTTATTCAGTAAGGGTCAACACTTCTGTAAGATAATTAGTAAGTTACCCAGCATTTGTTATCAGTCAAGGAAATTTCTGTTGAATGTTGTAGTGTATTAGGCCTACAGTAATATCAGAGTTTTCGTTGAAAAGTTTGTTTATGAACGCAGCCTATAGCAAATATTATTGAAAAAATGAATTCGTTATCCTTATGTAGAATGGATTTAGCATTATTTTTACCAAATATTCAAACAATCTGCTCAACGACAGAACATGTTGTAATAATAGAAAATAGTTCAAAAGTTAAGACAAATTATCAGTTAGTATGGAGTTTTGAAATAGTACATAATAAAAGCCGTGTAATGAAAGTACAAGATGAAATTACAGAGCAGACTTCTTCAGTTGTCCAAATGCAAGTTAATTTTATCTATAGAAATTTATTCTTAGGTGAATTTACATCAACTATTTATGTGAATCTTAAGTGTTAAATTTTGAAGTTTTCCAAAAATACAATATAGCGGCCAAAATAGAGCTATTTAGGATTATAAGTTGGAATGATTAGAAACGAAGATATATTTCATATTTAAGTTTTAATTACAAGATGATACAAATTAATTTACCTAAAATATCTTTTGTGAAATTACATAAAGACTGCTACTTAGATTTCAGAAACGTTTTATTTATGTTTAGTAACAAATTCAAAGACTTTGGGTGTCAGGTTTTATAAGGCCGGATTCTTTACAGGTGTCTGTGATTCGTTGGCGATATAGTTGAACAATAAACGGGCAGCACACAATCCACTTGTTTCAAAATAATATAGTCAAGACAAGTCAAACTTATGTACAATAATTCGTTACATTATTGGTTATCACAATTGTATCCAGAACTTTAGATAATTGTCTCTTTTTCCTTAAAGCGGGTTTAATTAATTTACAACACCCTTTGACAAGACAATTTATTCTCCTCTACCCTGTTATCACAGTATAATTAATGATAAGTTCACTTACTTTACCCCATGGATTATCACAGCAGTATAAAGAGCTTTAGATAATTTTCTTTTATACCAAAAGTCCACACAGGATGGTCCAGTTACTTTAGAATGCAATTGACAAGACGAATTCTTCTTCTTTACTCTGTCAACATAATCTGTAATTATTATACTTTAATAAAATCACCACTATAACTGTTGGTTACCACAGTTGTATCCAGAGCTTTAAATAATTGTCTTCTTTTTGTCAAAGTCCACATAGTCAGGTTCAATTAATTTAGAACACCCTTTGACAAGACAAATTATTCTCCTCTACCCTGTTATCACAATACAATTAATGATAAATTCTCTTACTTTACCCCACGGGTTATCACTGTTGTATACAGAGCTTTAAATAATTTTCTTTTATATCAAAAGTCCACACAGGCTGGTTCAGTTACTTTAGAACCCAAATGACAAGACGAATTCTTCTTCTTTACTCTGTTATTACATTACAGTATGGGATTATTACACTTTAAAATCACCACTAGAACTGTTGGTTATCACAGTTGTATCCAGAGCTTTAAATAATTGTCTTCTTTTTGTCAAAGTTCACACAGGCGGATTCAGTTACTTTGGAGTATCCTTTGACAAGACAAATGACTCTCTTTTATCTCTGTTATTACAATACAAATTGTGAAACTCAATCTAGATATCCCCTGTTACAATTAAACAGACAATCACGCAGTCTAACTTCAC